CTAAGTATAACCCACACTCAAGATGAATAGGCATCATTATGTATCTATAGAACTTTTTAACAGAGTACTTTGATCCTGCATTTAGATAATGTAGATTTGAAGTCATATTCCTATTATGTTATGCCTTACAAGATGCTCATGTGTATGTGGGATTTTTTGTAAAGCCCAATTTCGTACAGAGCAATATAATCACATAGAAATATTCTGGAAATTACATCCAGAAAGGATAAGTAAAGACGATTTCCCTTGGCCTGTCAATTTCGTCCACTGGCCTGTCAGATCTCTTCTTCTCTCTTCCCTTTCTTCTTCTTCTTGTCTTCTTTTCTTTGTTTTTCTTCTCATTCTCGTTTCTTTTCTTTCTTCTTCTTCACCTCCGTATTTTCTTCTTCTATGCCGTCTAGATCTGCGATGGTGAGGGTAAGGGCAGTGGCGGCGATGGCGGGGCTGAGGACGGCGGCGACGATGGGGGAATGAAGATGGCAGCGACGATGGTGGGGATGATGGCGGCGGCGGCGGCGGCGATGAGTCTAGATCTATATTTCTTCTCTTCTTGTTTTCTTCTTCTTCTCTCTCGTTCCTTTCTAGCCCACAATCACGGCAATGGTGAGACCGCAAGCGGTGATGGGGTTGACGATGATTGTGAGGACTAAGGTGAAGGTGGGGCTGGCGGTGAAAGTGGGGTGGCAGTGGTGGTAGCAGGGCGGTGGTGGGGAGGTTATGTGCGGCGAACGGGTTAACTGGTTCAAGAACATCTTACAACGCGTGAACGGGATCCGAACGTTAGGAGTGGAGAGAGTGAGAGCCACAACCGGGTAGAATTAATTAAGTAAATTCTCGTGTAGATTTTGGAGTACTCCGTACTCCGTATTTCTTAGTGCTACACTGCCACATACTCGGTAGTGAATTGCCAAAGTTTAGAAATCACACAAAATAAAACTAAAAAAATAGAAAAAAAATTCAAAATAAAAATTTATATTTTAATTCTCAAAATATGAGCGTGACTGTGGTAATGTGATGGTATAGTGGCACTGTAATGACTGTATACATGTACATTACTATATTTTTCAGTAATGTACATGA